GGTTCCCATGCAAAAACATCGGCCTAACCATATTCGCCAATCAATTTTCGGCCCAAAAATCTTCCCCATCGACTTCATAGTTGTCAATTTTGTGGAAAGAATCTCGATATATATGTATTGAAAATATGGCACTACTTCTCGCGTCATGCATCTTACGTAGTTCAAGACACCTTTTATAAGCAAGAAATGTTTGTGTTTATATGCATATCATCTCAAACCCATTCTCATCTTGGCCATTAAACTCTCCTTTCAACCTCATTTTTTCCGATGGCGATTTGTCCTACATTCGAAATGTTGTTCTCAGAGGTCTTATATATTCGTCCGAAAATTTTGGAATCCCAAGGTGAGTGGCACATATTGTCCATCCATTTACCTATCAACTTCGATTTTCTAACGTAAAAGGTCCAAATTTGTGTCGAAGTCTTTATCACTACAAAGGGGAAAAAGGAAAACAAAACAAAAAAGAAGAAAAAACAGTGACTGTTATTTTAAAATAAAACTCTTTCAACTTGATGATTTCATTTCCAAGGTAGCAAATTTTCTTGTACATTTTTGACACATAAGAAGGACAGCTTAACCATGAAATGGGTTAGTGCAGTGGTAATCCCCTTTTTCACTAGGGGCAAAAAAAAAAAAAAAAAGGGAAACTTAATCATGTATTAGTACCAATTTCTCTTGGCAAAGTTAGGCACAATGCTTTCTTCCTACAGATTCTCCAGCAAAAGGGTAAAATAGTGCAAGTTAATTGAGTATGCATACTAATTAGCCAAAATAAAAGGAGAAAATTACAAGAATAACTCTTATGTTTCATCATCTTATTGTTTATGCCATTAAAAAATATCCTGATAAAAATATATTTTACCAAAATACTAATAGTACAAATGATAAATTTTAAATTTGATTACAAAACTAAATTTTAAATTTTAATAGTGGAACATGCTATTTTGCTTCTTTTCCTACCGTGTTTTATTGTTCAATTAATTGTTCAACAAATTGCAGCAGAAATAGTTTTGCATGACTTGTTATAAATTTTTAATACGAACATGTATAAATTTTTTTTTTTTTTTTTTTTTAATTTTCACCAAAATCAATACAATATTTCTTATACATCTGGACGCTTGATGTTTCCGTACGTCAACATCAAAAATTTTATTTTTAGTAAAGCAATAATATATACCTTCCAGATACTAAACTCGTTTGTCTGAAGCCACACACACACACACACATATATATATATATATATTATAGTGTAACATAAGCATTTTTTTTTTACCTCGTACGTGCATATTTTCATCATATTCTTCAAATTTTTCTTTTTTCTTTTTTTTTTTCCCCCTTTAAGTGGTTTGTGTGCATTCGTACGCAAGATTTTACTGGTCCAAGAGAAGAATCGAAGAAGGTGCTAGATTAAATATATATGATGGTGGAGTTTTGGCGTTTCTCAATGACATATACTTCATTGGTTCCCATGCAAAAACATCGGCCTAACCAGATTCGCCAATCTATTTTCGGGCCAAAAATCTTCCCCATCAACTTCATGGTTGTCAATTTTGTGGAAAGAATCTCGATATATATGTATTGAAAATATGGCACTACTTCTCGCGTCATGCATCTTACGTAGTTCGAGACACCTTTTATAAGCAAGAAATGTTTGTGTTTATATGCATATCATCTCAAACCCATTCTCATCTTGGCCATTAAACTCTCCTTTCAACCTCATTTTTTCCGATGGCGATTTGTCCTACATTCGAAATGTTGTTCTCAGAGGTCTTATATATTCGTCCGAAAATTTTGGAATCCCAAGGTGAGTGGCACATATTGTCCATCCATTTACCTATCAACTTCGATTTTCTAACGTAAAAGGTCCAAATTTGTGTCGAAGTCTTTATCACTACAAAGGGGAAAAAGGAAAACAAAACAAAAAAGAAGAAAAAACAGTGACTGTTATTTTAAAATAAAACTCTTTCAACTTGATGATTTCATTTCCAAGGTAGCAAATTTTCTTGTACATTTTTGACACATAAGAAGGACAGCTTAACCATGAAATGGGTTAGTGCAGCGGTAATCCCCTTTTTCACTAGGGGCAAAAAAAAAAAAAAAAAGGAAAACTTAATCATGTATTAGTACCAATTTCTCTTGGCAAAGTTAGGCACGATGCTTTCTTCCAACAGATTCTCCAGCAAAAGGGTAAAATAGTGCAAGTTAATTGAGTATGCATACTAATTAGCCAAAATAAAAGGAGAAAATTACAAGAATAACTCTTATGTTTCATCATCTTATTGTTTATGCCATTAAAAAATATCCTGATAAAAATATATTTTACCAAAATACTAATAGTACAAATGATAAATTTTAAATTTGATTACAAAAATAAAATAGTGCTATCTTTTTAATGACATTCTTGAAAATTTCCCAAATAAAAATGAGTAGGCATACTTTTGTAACTAACCACGCAAGGCTATCCTTTGCGCCTGTAAGTTGTAAGCACTTACCAAACCACAAGATATTAATTAGGCCCTCCAAACCCTCCTCAGAAGCCTCGATACACAGATAGAGAAGTCTTGAAATTTTTTTTTTTTTAATTGACAATACAACACAGTAACAAATAAAAGTTTAGCAGCACAACTTACTAAAATTTTTTATAGAATTTTAATAGTGGAACATGCTATTTTGTTTCCTTTCCTACCGTGTTTTTATTGTTTAATTAATTGTTCAATAAATTACAGTAGAAATAAATTTACATGACTTATTATAAATTTTTAATACGAATTTGTACAAATTTAATTTAAAAAATTATATTATTCTTAAGTTAGATTATTAATATGTCATGCGTATTAAAAAACCTTCCAAATAATAGATACCGACTAAAACATATTCAACGAAAGTGTAAGAACAGCAGTAGCGCAGTTTAATTGACATTCACAAAAATTAAAAATAATAATAAGATATGTGGCTTTTGTGTGAATGTGACAGATCCACGTGGATGTATCTCAATCATTGCCTTTGCAAGACCGCAATCTTCATTCGAGAATCAATTTGAGTCTGTTTATTTCATGTTTAAATTTTTTTTATTTTATTATAATATTTTAATTTTATAAAAAATTTAAAATTTAAATATTAAAATGAAGAATTATTAATTTAAACGTATAAATAAAAGATCCGTAATATCTAAAAAAAACAACCAAAAGCACCATGCTTTTTACCTTGCATGCACGAGCGTGACTCCAGGAATTTAAATTGCTCTTTTTTTTTTGTTTTTTGTTTTTTATTTTTTGTTTACTACAAATTTAGCCTGATCTCACATTAAAGTGGGCAATTTAACAAAGATTCTTATGTACTCATCATGTGATAACTGAAAATTATACATGATATATAAATTGATTTGTCTCCACACTAATATTGTTAAAAATCTTTTTAAATTAGAACATATTGCACTTAATACAACATTTTTAAAACTATTAAAAATATATATAAAAGAAGTAATCTGTCAAAAAAAAATCAATGACCAAAATAATACAATTCTCATATTTCATGAACTAATATAATACATAAAAAAGTCAAAAGTTCTTGAATAGTACTATCTACTTAGATTGTCACGTGATCGCTTCTCTTCCTCCATTTTTTTCCCTTCTTTACATTATTATCTTTATTCGTTTTTCTTTTAAATTTTTGCTTTTTTATGTTTTTGCTTACGAATTTTAAAAAAAAAAAGTTTTGCTCACTTTGCTCCAATCAACATAATGTCTTTTGCATTTTGTCAATGGTTAAACTAATTTTCTTAAAATTTATCCATACTTAATTGTTTTTCGTGTCATTCTTATTATAGCAAAAGTTATCTTTACACCCTTTTTTTTTTCTATGGTAGCCCTTCACCCTCTTTTTTTTTTTCACATTCTTTTCTATTTTTTCTACTTTTATTACTTTTTTTTAATGTTTTTTCTTTTATTTTTATTTTATGAATATTTTTTTACAAATTAATTATTTTTAGGTGTGTTTTTCTCTTTTCTGGTCTTATTTTGTTTTTTATGCTTTTTTTTATTTTGTTAAGGGCTCTTTTATAGTTTATTATTTTCGTGACGATCTATATATTCAATCTAGCGTCTAACGTCTATAAAAACGGTCAAATCGACTTAGGAGGCACGTCTTGACTTCTTTTTTCTTCTTATTTTTTCCTGTCTTTTTAAACTTTTCCTCTTTTAATTTTTTTTCTTTTTTTCCTATTATCTTTTTTATATTTTCCTCTTTGAGATTTCTTTTACTTTTTACAATATATTTTTTAAAATACTTTCTTCTAATTAAAATAATCCTTTTGAATATATCCATACTCTTTTTTTTTTTATCAAAAACTCCTATATAACTATAACTTTTTTTCTTTCTTAAGTTTTCCTCTTCTCATCTTTTTATTTTTTTATTTTTCTTCTTTCCGTTTGCTTATTGACTTTTTCCTAACATTTTTTGATTGTTACATTTGTTTATATAATATCCTACTTTGAAATACTTTCTTTTTGTCACTTTATTTTAATTAAAATAATTCCTTTCAAATGTCCCTATACCTAAGATTTTTTTTTCTTGCTCAAAAACTCCTATATAATTTTAAATTTTTCTATATGAATTTTTTTAAAAAATTTCTCTTGATCTAATTAACAAACTTAATTTCTAACGATACTATGTATTTTGACGTGGAGATTAAACTTATAAAGTTATTCCTTATATGCATAGCACGTGGCTCAACTAGTATACTTAAAAACTCAATTCTAAAATTGTGCATGGGTCCTCTTAATGAGTCCTAATCACGTCCTTTACCTTTTTTTTTTTTTTTGAAATGGGAAAACCTTTAGCATTTTTTATGTATACAATTTTTTTTTTTTTTGGATGAAAATGTATACGTCCTTAATCCTTTTCTATATATACCAGCTTTTCCTGCACAAACTGGCCTGTGAGAGACATAACTTATACACCCAGTATACATTTTCTTTTCTTTAAATTAATAAGACTCGACACATACACTACACTAGAACTTGTTATAAAACATGGCAACCGAGCTCTTGTGCATGAGCCCTGGATGCCTCTTTACACACAAAGTTAGTACGTTACAAAGTGCACGGAGGCCCCATCATGGCATAGTTACCTCGACCACGTCTTCCCGGACCTCTCAGCTGGTAATTCGCTCTTCAACCAGACAAAGTTCGGGTTTAACAGCAGACAGACAGACGGCTAATTACCAGCCATCTTCTTGGAGCTACGATTTTCTGCAGTCCCTTGAAGCTACTTACCATGTAATTATATGATATAATACTCATGACTATATATTTTGTTTTAATTTGTACTGTACTGTACATAGTTAAACCTTTTTCTTTTTGTTTTTTGTGATCACTTAAAACCTTGAAAAATGAAAAGGGCATTAAGCAAACAAAAGACTGACCAAAAGCAGGTTATAGATATAGATATAGATATAGATATATATACCAAATACCTCACGATTATTAATTTTTAATGTTTGACCAAGTATGGATTACGACATTTCATATATACGCAGGTTGAAACATACGAGGAGAAAGTGGAGAAGCTGGAGAAAGAAGTAAGACTCATGATTAATGAAGAGAATGCTTCGTTTGTGGCCTCACTTGAGTTGATTGATGAGATCCAACGGTTGGGATTGGGATACCGTTTTGAGGAAGATATAAGGAAAGCCCTTGATAGGATTTCCTCACTGGAAGGATTTAATTCTGGAATCGAGAAAAGCCTACACGCTTCTGCTCTCAGTTTCAGGCTCCTTAGACAACATGGCTTTAACAATGTTACTCAAGGTACTAATTTTTGGATCTAACTATAATTCTTCTGATGTTTATAAATATATTAATTTTAGAGATGCTAATTATGATTCCAAGTTTTGTAACAACACTTAAATTGTCATTGTTTTATTGATAGATGTTTAAAAAATTCAATCAATTAATAATATAAGAAGATGCACCTATTAATAGAAGAATGATGACTCAAAAGTCAGTATAAAAGTTAGGATTAGACTTTATTGTATCCCTAACATTATTTTTATAAATTATGACACACATCCACGATAAAGCACTAATACAAAATTCTCACTAAGCAAACACGAAATTGTAGGGCAGTTATTACTATCCCAAAAATCTCCAACAGTTAGCTTTTGTTATATCCTTAAAAAATAATTTGATTTATGCTCTCTTGATTCTAGGTTGTTTAGCTCAGCAATCTTGAATTAACGGTCAATTCAATGCTTGTTTTAAGACAAGCACGTATAAAAATGTGATTTGAAGAGGAAATTGCCACAAGATTGAGATAGATATGTTTGAATAATTTTTCAAGAAAACAAAAAAAAAAAGTAATACATTAAGGCCTCGTAATGGTCTTTCAATATCAATAGGTTGATTGTTTTACTCCTGTATTTTTTAAAAGGAAAAAAGATTTTTGAGAGTTGTTTTTTAGAACCAAAATAGAGTAATTAATTACCGTGTTATTATTAAAAGTATATAAAATTTAAATATAAATTCTTAAAAATGAAAAATTGAAAAAAAAAATAAAGTTTCAGAGCAAGAAGGCAGAAAAAGGGTAAAAAAATGACTTAAAGAAATAAATAAGTTTTATAGCAAAAAGAATCAAAATGAAAAAAAAAAGAGTTTATGGGGAAAAATTATTTTAAAAAAAGCTAAAAAAAGGCCAAGATGAAAAAATATAAGTCTTAGGACAAAATGAACCAAAACGAAAAATAAAATAAAATTTGAGGACAAAAATGAGAAAGAGGGTAAAAAAGGATTAAAATGAAGAAATAAATAAGTTTTAAGGTAAAATTAATTAAAATGAAAAAAAAATGGAATTTTAGGAAAAAGAAAATGGGTAAAAGAGATTACTAAAATGAAGAAATAACTAAATTTTAGGACAAACAGAACCAAAATAAAAAAATAAAGTTACTATGTAAAAATAAAAAAAATGGTCAAAATGGGGTTAAAGTGAAGAAATAAATAAATTTTAGGACAAAAAGAACCAAAGCGAAAATAAAATAAAGTTTTAGGATAAAAATAAAAAAATAAAATTTTGATGTAAAAAGTAAAAGGATAAATAAAAAGGACCTAAAAGAAAAAAAAAAAGAGGAGAAGGGGCGAATTATATAAAAAGACGGACCTAAAAAAATTAGAGCAAAAATAGGAGAAGGAGAGAGAGACCTACAAATAAAGTTACGGAGAACTAATTAAAAGAACATTAAATAAATAAATAAAACAAAACAAAAGAATCTATAGGCACATAAGATTTTCTTTTTCAGGGGGTTGAAATAAACAAAACTTTAAACTAAAATTACAGTACAACTATTTTTTTTTTTTTAAACTCTTGTGTCTTTCTTTTCTTTTTTTTTTTCTTTGGTTTGTTTGGGATTTTAAATTAGAAAATTAACGTAATTAAACTTTAAAATTTAGGGTACACAAAGAATTAAAAAATTGGTATTTTTAGAAAATTCTATGTAAATATTATAATTTCAGGATTTCAAGGGGCAAGGAAGACACTTTTTTTTTTTTTTTTTTTTTAGCTGAGGTCAAAAGTAAAAGGAGCAGCTTAATTGATTGAAAAATTAATGGCACCTCTGTGTACTACTAATCAATCAGTTTAATTATCTTTGTCATATAATTTAAACTAATAAATATTGTGTTTATGATCCTAAAACAGACATCTTTAAAAATTTCAAGGATCATAATGGCAGTTTCAAGGAATCCCTCTTCAAAGATGTCAAAGGCGTGCTAAGTCTCTACGAAGCTTCACATCTCGCTTTCCCAGGAGAGGACCTCTTAGATGAGGCCAGGAAATTCACACGGAAACATCTCAATGACCTAATCAGATCAGGTAATTTAAGCAAAGACGTCGCTGAGGAAATCAGTCATGCATTAGAGATTCCTTTGCACCAAAGAATGCAAAGGCTGGAAGCTAGACGCTACATCGAAGCATATGATAAAAGGTCGGACGCTAATCGAATCCTACTCGAATTCGCCAAGTGGGATTTCAACATGGTGCAATCCACACTGAAGAACGATCTGAAAGACTTATCGAGGTATATATTGATGAACAATGCTAAAAGGCACTGGTGATATTTTACGCCACAGTACTAACAGAAAGTTGGCCTCATGCACAGATACTGAGGCAAAACTCTTTATTAGCTGTGGTGCTAAACACCAATACTGATGTCTTCAAGTATTTTTCTATGTCGATTTTTTGTTTATCATGAAAGAAAGCATTTAGTAGATATTTATAACTAGGTTAATTTGACTTGCAATATTATAGGTGGTGGAAAGACATGGGATTGACAAACAAGTTGAGCTTTGCAAGAGACAGACTTATGGAGTCCTTTTTCTGGGCTGTTGGGATGGCGTTTGAACCTCAATACAGCAACCTCCACAAAGAGTTAACAAAAGTGGTTGCTTTCATCACCGTCATCGACGACGTCTACGACGTTTATGGCACTGTGGAAGAACTAGAGCTATTCACCGATGCTGTTGAAAGGTTGGTGCTATAATTTTCTGTTGACTGAAATCTCCACAAAATAAACTTTCTTAATTATAGTAGAAAATTTTGATTATTATTAATTTGTAAATTTTTCTTAATTATGAATTTCAGATGGGATGTCAAAGCTGTGCAGAATCTTCCAGACTACATGAGGATATGCTTCCTAGCTCTCTACAACACTGTCAATGACTTGGTTTATGACACTCTCAAAGAGCATGGCGTGTACATTCTTCCTTACCTCACAAAAGCTGTAAGCAATGTTAATAACCATCTTAATTTATATGTTCAAATTGCCCATATTAAAGAGATTTTCAGCTTATGTATATATATAATTGGCAGTCTGGTAATTAACTAATTTGGCATAATTATTTGTCTGTTTTTAGTGGGCTGATATGTGTAAGGCTTTTCTACAAGAAAAGAAATGGACCCAAAACAAGGAAACGCCCAGTTTTGAGGAGTACCTCGAGAATGGGTGGATGTCATCATCAGGAGGACTCTTATTGGTTAATGCATATTTGTTGATGATCCAAAATATCACAAATCAAGGACTTGAGAGCTTAGAGAATTACCATGATCTCTTGCGATGGCCGTCTGTTATTTTTCGGCTTGTCAATGATTTGGCAACTTCAACGGTATTATAATTTATTATATGTTAATTAGATATATTTTCACATTTGGAAAGTTATGTAACAGCTTTTCAATTTGTTTTTTCTGCTATAAAAATGTAGGCGGAACTAGAGAGAGGTGAGACTAACAACTCAATCTCTCGCATCATGAGCGACAGAGGCCTTTCTGAGGAATATGCTCGTCAAGACATAAGAAATTTGATTGAAGAAACATGGACGAAGATGAACAAAGACGCGACTTCTGACGATTCTCCGTTCGCAAAGCCTTTTGTGGAGACGGCAATTAACCTTGCCCGGATTGCGCAATGCCAATACCAGCATGGAGATGGCCATGGAAATCCCGACGCTGGATCAAAGAACCGAGTCTTGTCTCTTATAATTTATCCCATTCAGTAACAAAAATCTTTTCTTTCTTCTTTCCTCATCTAATAATTTAGAAAACGGAGACGCTATAATGATGTAAGAAATGGATACAGAAATAAATATGTAACAAATAGACAGGAATAGAGCATAATCTAAATGTGTTATGTAAGTATTCTGTTTGAAGGAAGTATATATGTGTGATCCTTTAGCCACCAAAAAAGAAAGTAAATGTGCTTGTACTACACTTCCATATCTGACTCCACAACAAAGTTTAGATTTCAAATTCGAAAAAAAGGGTAAATTATTTGAAGTTTAAGAACACAAGGAGCAGCCAGTCTAGTGGAAATGTGCTCTTGAATGTACCTAGATTAACTTGGTCTAAATCTTTATGAGCAAAAGAGAGAATGATGAGTTGAGATTCCTGATCCAGTTTAACAAATCTTTCTTGACCAGATATGGAAGGTTTGGAATATTTGTTTGGTATGCAACTCATTGGAAAAAGATGGTTGCGGAGGCAGAGCACAAATTCTGAGAGGAGGAGGAGAAGGATTCGTGAGGTAAAAAGAGTACTCATCCTCAAAGCTTGGTGGATGAGCAGTAAAACGACAAAAAAAGGAAAAACGACAATACAGTAAAATGAAAATTAAACCTTAGAAACGAGAATATGTTAACTAGAAAACTTCGAAAATTACATAAGCAGTTCAACAGACCCAAGATAAATAAGAAACGACAAAGAAATCAAACTCAAAAAAATAAAGAAAGAAGAAAAAAGATCTTGCATACGACAACAAAATGAGTAAACGACAATAAAATTATAGAACATGGATAAATTAACAAATTAAGGACGATAGCAGCAAAAAATATATATATATATATATATATATATATATATATATATAACAAGAATCAATAAAATGTGAAAAAGACGTATGAACAAGAAAACAGAAAGAGACGTAAAAAGAAAATAAATAGAAGAAAGATTATTAATTAGAAATTTCTGCAAAAATTCAATGTAATATTCCTAATATATATGGTTAATTTGAAACAAATCGACAGCATTAGCTTCTCAATGTTAATTACGTTGTTTTTCCTTGTAGTGCTTGTTTTTAAGAAACAAACAAGTCAAAGGTTCCTCGGCAGTAGCTTGCAAAAAACTCAACGCGCATATATTCCGACTATAAACCCAATTCAAATGGTACAAGATGTTCGGAAATCATGAGGTTGTCCTTCTTGAATCATCGCTTTGCAGAGTCCTAAAATGCGGTTAAATAGACTATAAGGCAGAGAACAAGGCACGCTTGAAAGCATGGAGAGTTGAAGATGGTAGAGGAATGCATGACTTATCAATTTATCAGCTAAACTGCTTGTACAAGCTGAAACGGAGAGGTCAACCCAAATTAGGTTATTGAGGACCAAAACGATGTGCAACGTAGGCACAATTAAATACGGCATAAAAGTGAAACCCAAACGGCTTGTACAAGCTCATTACAAGTTACAACGTTTTAAATTTATTATTGTTTTTTTTTTAATGGTAAGGCCTTGGCAATGCATGTTTCTAATTGTTGACTCCAATCTAAATTTTAGGGGTGTTCACAGATCTAATTACACGGATTAGAAATTAATCCGTAATCCAAGCTGTTACTACGGATTAGAAAAATCTCAATCCGTTATTCATCCATGAGACCTCAACTCAATCCAATTCGAAGACAAGAGATTCACTACAACAAAAAGGGTTATTAGCGACGACACCTGTCGTTGCTAATTGTAGGCTATTTCCGATGACATGTCGTCACAATAAATGAAGCAAAATTTTTTAACGACATTTCACCGCATTTAATATTTCCGAGGACTGGTTGTCGTATATATGTAAATATTTGCGACTACAAGTCGTCGCTATACTAGGGGAGAGTATTTGATACGACATGTCGTCGCAAATATTTATCGGCGCCAAAACTAATATGGCGCTAACATGTTTGGCGCCAATTTGTCCATTAATTGTGACGACATGTCGTCGCTAATATTTAGAGTTACGGCTGGTAGTTAAGTGGCCAAAAAAAGACAGAAAATTTGGCGGTTTCCCGAAAATTAGTTCCAGAAAATTCTTCATTTTTTGCAACGAAATGTATGAACTATCGTCGCAAATATTAGTTCCAGAAAATTCTTCCAACCATGAGGAGTTTTTGCAATGATAGTATGAAATGTTATCGTAAATATTGATCAAATTTAATTTCTCACAAAAAAGGTAGAAAATTTGGCAGTTTCCTAAAAAAAATTTACGACAACTATATTAAAAAGTCAACGCAAATATTCGTTCCAGAAAATTCTTCCAACCTCGAGTATTTTATGCAACGACAGTATGAATTGTCATCGCAAATATTGATCGAATTTAATTTCTCACAAAAAAAGGCCGAAAATTTGGCGGTTTCCAAAAAAATATTTGCGACGACTATATTAAAAAGTCGTCGCAAATATTAGTTCAAGAAAATTCTTCCAACCACGAGTAATTTTTGCGACAACACTACGAACTGTCATCGCAAATATTGATCGAATTTAATTTCTCACAAAAAAAAAGACGGAAAATTTGGCAGTTTCCTAAAAAATATTTGCGACAACTATATTAAAAAGTCATCACAAATAAGGAATATAGGTATATTCCCAGTGAATATGGTCAGAAATATTAATGAGGTGATGGAGAACGACGTCATTTTGATATTAATTGCGATGACTTTTTTTTTTATTTTTTGCGATGATATATTGTCGTCGCAAAAAGCCATATGTATAAACACGATCGCAGAACTCTTTCCTCCATTTTTTCCAGTCACCCTCTCGGTTTTTTCCCTCCCTCACCGTCTATAAACCACCCCAAAACTCTGAAAAAAAAAAAAAGCTCAAATTTATCATTCTCTCTTCAAATCTTTGATTTCTGGAGAAAAGTATTTTGAGAAACTCCAAAAACAGCAGTGTTTTCACCTCGTCGTCGCCACCCATTTTCCTAGCCATCTTCCTACTATCGTCGCCCTCCCAGCCCTGCTGCATTACCGTTTTCCAACCCCGGGTGTTGTGGGTTTGAATTTTGAGAGTTAATATTTTTGGTATTTTGTAAATTGAATTTTTTTTTTTATTTTGGTTGTGGTTTGTGGTTTTGTTTTAGATTTTGAATTTGGTTTGTGGTTTTGTTTTAGATTTTAAATTTGGTTTGTGGCTTTCGATGTATTTAGATGTTATTGGTGGATTGTGAATATGGTAAATTAGTATTATAATTGAATGGGGTAGAATTGTGAATGTGGTAGATTGTAAATTACAATTGAATATAGTAGAATTGTGAATGTAGAATTGAACGTGGTAAATTAGAATTGTGAATGTGGTAGATTGTAAATTAGAATTTAAATTTAAATTTGTGGTAATTAGATTGAAATTTGTATGATAATTTTTATGTGATGATGATTATGTTGGTAAAAAAATTTAGATGAAAATTTTAAGAATTAAAAAAAAAGTAAAAAATAGTGATATGTTTAATAATTAAATGATAAATGGTAAAAAATAAATGAAGTTGAAAATTAAATGTAAAACATGTAAATAAAGTAATTATTATATTATAACAATTTGAGAAAATGTTATAAATGAAAGAAAAAAATATCTTAACAAATTTAATTAATGAAAAAAGTTTTAATAATTATTATATTAATAATAAAAAAAATTAAAAATAACTATTATAAAATAGTTAATAGATTATTAAAGACTTGGTATAAAAAAAATTTGTGTTAATTTTTATAAAATTTGATAAAACTTAATAAATTCTTCGTAGTGGAGATGCTACCTTCCTTAGATTTTTTTTAATCTTAGAAAAATTATAATAAATAGCATATTTTAAAAAATAAACTAAAAAAATAACAGTTTTGTAAAACTATTTGAAGTAAATATCAATTTATAGCGTAAATGTATCATTTACGATTAGTAAAAAATTTAAAAAATTACAGAATTTACTTGTAACAGTGCATCAATTAAAATTATTACTCCTTACTCTTAATTAATACTTTTTTAACTAATATAGAATTTTTTTTAATGAGAAATTTTATTTCATAAGAAACAGATTGCACAAGATATAAATGGGTCCAAATACAAAGGAATTCGACTTGAATCAATGATTGGATCCACTAGTAAGGACCAAAATAGCACAGGAGTGAATACAAGTACCGAAACTCAAATGAAGAAAGACTGGCTAGGCATATGAATCATGCAATTTAAAGGAGTATTTGTCTCATTTTCTCTCAAAGACAATTTACGTGGTAAAAACCTCTATTTTTGTGGAAAAAAAAATTTTAGCAATCGTAAAAAGAAAATTTATGTGAAAAAAAATCTATTTACAAGTCGTAAATGAAATATTTTATGTGGTAAACTGTTATTTACGTGTCCAGATCTATTTCCCTATTTTCCTATCTCAGTGGTTGTTATAACATCCGGTTAAATTAATTGAGATTAATGAATTTAATCCAATGGTTAGTGTTAATTAATCCGAGATCAGTGAAAGAATTTCAGTTATAATTATCACATAAGGACCTTTCCTTTTGAAAAGGATTGTGTTGAAATTGACACTGCTATCCCCCGAACAGTCTAAAGTGTTGGTAGCTAATTTTTTAGAATAGAAATAATGGGTGATTCCATACTCTATTCAAAACGGGCTTTCCAGTTAAATTAATTGAGATTAATTAATTTAATATGATGGTTAGTGTTAATTAATCCGAGATTAGTGAAAGAATTTCAATTATAATTATCTTGTAAAGACCTTTCCTTTTAAAAAGGATTGTGTTGAAATTGACACTGCTGTCCCCTGAACAGTTTTAAAGTGTCGGTAGCTAATTTTTCATAACATGAATAATGGGTCATTTCATACTCTATTCAAATTGAGCTTTGAAGTCTAATCATAATATTTGCCCAGAAAGCCTAAGCCCATGTTTAATCATTCACCAATAGTTTTGTAAGGGGTGGTTCCGACGATCTAACCGTTGGATCGTCGTGATTTTGTTGTCAAAACACTCAAAAGATCATGGGTAATAAAATCCCTCAACCAATTTTAAGATTTCATTACCGGAAATCTGAGATTTGAGTCGTTAAATTTTACCAACGTTGTCGGTCCCGATCTGTACTGTTAGAAGCTAAATTGTGTGAAATTGACCACACCATTGAACTCAGAAGGGTCAATTTACGGGG